ACTTTGAAGCATGTGATAAACTTTCCTTTAAGGCCACATAAGCCATTTTTTGCATACACCACATTGTCTTTATCCATTAATCCCTTTATGGACATTTGGGTTGCTTCCTTCTCTTGACAGTTGTGAATAACAATGAGCATGGATGTGCAAATGTCTCTTCCAGATCCTGTCTTGAATTATTTACACACACACACACACACACACACACACACACACACACACACACCCAGAAGTAGAGGGTAGAAATCTTTCAAGGAGTTTTTATAAATATTGTTAATGGACATGGTGCTTCCCACAGTTCTCCAAGCTCTGTGTAAATGGTTTAATATTTTCATCTAGTCAACAAATTTCCTGCATAGAGAGGAGAGCTCAAACATCTTATTTGAGAACGACTCTGCAGCTGTGCAAATACAGTTTGCCTAAACATTAATCCATCTGTCAGGTGAGATTTCCTTCTTTAAATAGCAAAAATTCCAAGTGTGGTGGATTAGTGTCTGTGCTCGAAGAGTTCTCAGCTATGCAAAGGTGAGTTGTAGTTACATCTGTTCTGGATCCTCTGGGTATTTGGATTTTGGGTTTCCATGGGAAACAATGGACAGTCCCCTCTAAGTCACACTTGGCCCAAGGGTTGCAGCATCATATTTAATTCTGACCCACTCAGTGAAGGATCCCTTAATGGTTCTAGGCATCTTTCATTTATTTAAAAATATTTGGTCCATGTTGTGTGCCAGCCCCAGGGCTGAGATCTAAGGGAATAAAAGGTGAAAAATACCTACTTTCAGGGAACTTGCAGTCTAAGTGAAGGGTGGGTATTACAACATAGCCTGATAATGCTTCATGAATCAAGACAGAGTCATGCCCCAAAGGGGAATAGAATCAACTTTGCACAGAGAGTTGTGTTTCAGAAAGGGTTCTCAAAGGAGGAAATACCTGACCTGGGGATTGAGGAACAAGTAGGAATGGTGAGGGGCAGGAATTCTAGACAGAGGGACCAACATCTGCAAAGTCACTGAGATATAAAAGAAGTGTAAAAAGGAAACTCTAAGTGGCTGGAGAGAGCCTAGTAGGGGGAACATGGGACAAACTTGATAGGAGTTCAAACATGAAGGGCCTCTGAATTATTCTAAAGTAAGGGGCCATTAATGGCTTTCCATCAGTGGAGTAGTTTGAACAGGTCTGTCTTTCTGACAATTTACATCTGGTTCTAGCATGGCAGATGACAAGTCACATTTTATTTTCTATGTCAAATGTTTAGTAATTTATATAGCATCTCTTCTTTATTGTCTATTCCAGAAATGGCAACTTTGTGCTACAATTCTCTCTTTCTGCAGCCATGAGAGATGTTGCTAATTAGTTTTAACATCTTTCTCACTAAAATAAGNCCTCCCAACAAAAAAAAAAGGGTAGGGGACTCCCCTGGTAGTCCAGTAGTTGGGACTTGGCCTTCCAATGCAGGATGTGCTGGTTTGATTCCGTGGTCAGGGGGCTAAGACCCCATATATCTTGGGGCCAAAAAACCATAAAACAGAAGCAACATTGTAATATAATTGTATCTTTTCCTATGTAAACACTTCAATTTGTTCTATTTTTATTAAACCACAGACTAAAAACTTCCAATATAAAATATGGGCATTACCTGGTGGTACAGTGGGTAAGAATCTGCCTGCCAGTGAAGGGGACACAGGTTTGATCCACATGCCTCAGCAGCGAAGGCCCCGGGCCACAGCTACTGAAGCCTGTGTCTAGAGCCTGCGTGCCGCAGCTCCTAGAGCCGGCGCCCCTGGGGCCCGCGCTCTGCGACAAGGGAAGCCACCGCAGTGAGAAGCCCCAGCGCTGTAACTAGGGAACAGCCCACGCGCAGCAACAGATTCAGCACAACCGAAAACTAATCAACTGATTGAAAGTAAAGAAAATATGGCATGCCATTTATGTGTTACTTTGCTGGCACACTGACTAAGATCATTCAGTCTATGTACTATCATTTGTAAAGAGCATAGTATTTGAGATATTTATCATGAACTGGGTGTGGCTAGGATCCAAAAAAGCTTTATTTAAGGAAAAAATAAGGGGTTTATTTTTCTATCAAAATGTGATTTTAATAATTTGCTGAAATTCTCAACTGTTTTCTCTCTCCTTTTTATGTTCATGGATAGCATTGTATTGACTTCTTCCATTCTAAATCTGTCACATTTTTCCTGCCTTGTATTTTTTTTGAGCTATCAGTTCTCTAGATTGTTTTTATAATCACTTGGTTGGTAGACTGTTCAACTGTGTTTGACTTAGAATGTTTTAAAGCAGTTCCTTTCATACCATGACTTTGAAAAATACTATTTAAGGGTTTCTTTTAGGTGAGGAAGAATATGGTTGCAGAATTTATTAACAGTGATAGAATGAGTGCAGGAGGATTCTTGTTCCATCAAGATGGAGTAAGCACACTCTCCTCTCACTAAATGCATCTAGAAACCCTGGACAGAATGCATGCAGCAGCTGAGGACTCTGGAAAGTAAATGTTAGGTGAATTGGAGAAGGAAGCCAAAACTCAAAACATCGCTGAAATATCCATGAGTTTGTTTCTTTTCTCTCTTGGTATCTCCTGGGGTGGTCTCAAAAGCTGCCAGAAACCCCAAACTGCACACAAACTGAGCTCTTAGACAGGTCTTTTTCTGGAATGTGGACAAGGAACGGAAGGGGGCCCCTTTGGGTTAGAGAGAGAGGGGAAAATCCCTTTTTTATTTCTGTGTTGCTTTGCCTTTTTTTCCTCCTGTTCTTTCCTGCTGTAACCCAGGCAGCCGTGTAGCAGACTGCTGCAGAGCCAGGAAACGAGCCTGGGCTTTCCAGCCAGAGGACCCAGGAACGGCCGTCTTCACCGCCACCCCACGCCACTGAGCTCGGAGTTGTCGTGGAGATTGTGGGGATAGTAACGTGACACACAGAAGCTGGATGAGCACAAAGACTGAACTTAACCATTTCAGCTGTCTGCTAACATAGTTTTTTAAAAATCAGCATGCTCCATAGGTTTTGAAGATTTAAAATCATATAATGTGATGTCCAGGATCACAAATTACATACAAACAATAAGGAAATTGTCTCAAAGGGAGACAGTCTAGTAGACTTCACCCTCAAGGTGGTGCAGGTCAGGATTTAAAAGCAGTTATCATAACCATGCTATAAGAAGCAATAACAAATTTTCCGGAAACTGAAGATGGAACTAAAAAATAACTACTGGAATAAAAAGTTTACTGGATGGGCTTGTAGAGTAGAAGTGACGAAAGAGTGAGTGAACTTGATGGAAGATAGATCAGTAGGAATGGCCCAGTTTGAACAATGTTGAGAAAAAATTTCAGATGGATACTGAAAATGAACAAATCCTGGTCAAAAGTTTTAGCATTATGTGTCAGATTCACAGAAAGAAGAGTGTGTTATGGAAAAAATAATCTATGTTTAAGTTTATGGATGGGTTCTATAAACAACTAAGGTATTAGCAGTGAAATGAGTAAGCTTCACTTACATAGATTAAAATAAGATAACACTTCAAGTGGAATATATATATATATATCTGGTGCTTTAACCGAATAATTCTGTTAAATGAATATTTTTAATAACTCACCCTGAACTATTAAGGTAACATTTTAAAAAACAGTAAAGGATCATGTAGCGATTTAGTTTTTTTTTTTCTTTTTTTAAGCTTTTTATTTTATATTGAGGTATAGTTGATTAATAATGTTGTGATAGTTGCAGGTGGACAGCAGAGGAAATCAGCCATACATATACATGTATCCATTGAATTTCTCTCCCATCCAGGCTGCCACATAACATTGACCAGAGTTCCCTGTGCTACCAGCAGGACCANCAGCCTTGACGTACTCCTTTCCCAATTTATAACCAGTCTGTTGTTCCATGTCCAGTTCCAACTGTTGCTTCTTGATCTGCATACAGATTTCTCAGGAGGCAGGTCAGGTGGTCTGGTAGTCCCATCTCTAAGAATTTCCCAGTTTGTTGTGATCCACACAGTCAAAGACTTTGGTGTAGTCAATAAAGCAGAAGTAGATGTTTTTCTGGAACTCTCTTGCTTTTTCAATGATGCAGTGTTTTTTTGGCAATTTGATCTCTGTTCCTCTGCATTTCCTAAATCCAGCTTGAACATCTGGAAGTTCACAGTTCATATAGTAGTTCTATTTTTAGTTTTTTAAAGAACCTCCATGCTGTTCTCCATAGTGGCTGTATTGATTTATATTCCCACCAACACTGCAAGAAGAGTTAGTTCCTTTTTCTTCACACCCCCTCCAGCAAATGATGGCCATTCTGATGGGTGTGAGGTGATGCCTTATTGTAGTTTTTATTTTCTTTCCTCTTAATTAGTGATGTTGAGCATGTGTTTGTTGGCCATCTGTATGTCTTCTTTGGAGAAATGCCTTATTTGGGTCTCATTTGCCTTTTTCTTAATAAATTGCAAATGTGTAGTATAATTCCCTGGATTTTGGTTTGCTTCTTAACATGCTATAGCAAAATGCATCCATCTTACTTGGTGTATGTGTCAGTATAGATTATTTTGAAACAAAATTAAACACTGGTACTCATAAGAGAGGGAAGATCCCCTGGAGGAGGGCAGGGCAACCCGCTTCAATATTCTTGCCTGGAGAATTCAGTGGACAGCATCCTGGAGGGCTACAGTCCATGGGCTTGCAAAGAGTCGGAGGCTTAGCAGGCATGGAGCACAGTGATTGAACTTAATGTCCAGCCCCTCTCCCCATCCACGGGTCAGGGGCTGGATAGGAAGTTCCAACCTCGTGATCACAAGGTGGACCTTCCTGGCAACAGGCGTCCAGCTTCACTTGCTTCCAAAAGTTACTTCATTAATGTAACATTCATAAGAGAAGGTGGAGCAAGAAAGACAAAAAATACAAAGCATGATTTTAAATCATGGTGAGACTTTTGTAATTTTTATGAGAGTAGGCAAGTACTGTTATAAATTAATCATCCTTTTTTTGGTTAAATAATAGATCCGAGTGGGACATACTTTTGAAGGATGTGCAATGTTCAATCATAAGTGTGACAAAAACTGACAAGCAGGAAGCTTATGTACTCAGGTAAGTCCTCTGAAATAGTATTGGTTAACCGATTTCAGTGTGAATCATACTTTATATGGGAGAGTAAATTGTTCCTTTATATACTGGTTTTGTAATTATTTTTAGCTTTTTTTTTTTTAATGTGTAAAATAAAATGTTTACCTCAGGTGTCCCTAGGCAATAGGGTTTTTGAAGTCTTACCTAATAGCTCTTCAAGGTGACTGCCATCTTTATTACCCTGGAGGTTAACAGGAAGTTTCTGCAGAAGAGGGTTGAATGGCATTGTTCCTTTGCCCTCACTTCTTTTATTTTTAGTATGTGCTTCTCTATCAAAGTCTGAAGCAGAATGAAAATTAGCTTCACTATAGAAATAGGATTGCTGTTATTTAAGAGAAGAAAGCAAAAAAAAAAAAAGCCATGCAGTTCTTTTTTAGGTACAGATAGAATGTTGGGCCTTGAGGCTATTGTATTGAACATGGTGCCTGCTTTTACTGTCTATATTTGACATATACAGATGTTTATCAAATGCCTATTAGGTGCCAGGCCCTAGGGAAATAACAGTAAAAGCAAACATTCCTTTCCTCATGGAACTTACTATCCAGTGAAAAATAATGAGATGGTTACAGACATACACGTGAGAACAGGCAGTTCAAGATGATGTAAAGAATGAATTTAGTAAGTGTCCTCAGTTAGGTTAGGTGAGGAGGAAAATTGACTAAAGAGGGTTTGTGTAATGAGCTAATCTGCTTTATACCTAGTTTGTTTCTGTGGGATCTTTCATGTAATAGAAGAGGAAGAATTATTTGCTTCCTTGAGAACTTAATGTTTAAAATTATTAGCCAAAAATTTACACTTTAAATGATAGTCCAATAATAATAGATTAAGCATCTCAATAGTACATAAACATTGTTATAATATTGTGACTTTCTTTTAAACTGCAGTGAGAGTAGCATGTTTGTCTCCAAGAGACGTTTCATTTTGAAGACATGTGGTACCACCCTCTTGCTGAAAGCACTGGTTCCCCTGTTGAAACTTGCTAGGGATTACAGTGGGTTTGACTCAATTCAAGTAAGTAGTCAAAAAACATTTATCCTTTTGGTGGGGTATAAACGTTAGAGTTCGGTGATGTGCCTGGTAAATAAATTTGTATACTTGTTCAATTGTAATGACTAAGGACACTCACACCATGGAGAGAAAGAATGCCTGATACTCATGAACAACAGAAAATGTGGAGGAACCAGAAAAGGAATTGGGATAAAACTCAAAATGAAAGAAAAGAAAATCAGATACTTTCAGTAGTTAATTCCTTAACATTATTACTATGAATGGTGGAGAAAATAAGAAAAGAAGGGAAAGAAAGAAAAATCATCTAGACTTCATAATAAAGAACTGATTGTATTAAAGAGCAGTAGTCAGTTAATTCTTGAATGCTATCAGACTTTATACTTGGGTTTTAATTGCTGTGATAAGATGTTGAATTTTAATATTTAACTTAATTTGTAAATATTACTAAATAATTTACTCAGTTTTTCCTAGGGCAGAGGACAGCTGTCATTGGGACATAAAACTGTTTTTGTTGATCCTTATAAGATGATCTAAATTGAGCAGTATGTTAATTTTTGGATTACTCTTATCAGTAGTATGTTAATTTTTGGATCAGTACATATTCTCCCACAACATTTTTATTACATCCCTATTTTAAAGCTCAGAAACTCCTGCTCTAGGGAATCCCCTGGTGGTCCAGTGGTTAGGACTCTGTGTCTCTATATAACACTAACTCATGGGTATTGGTCTGAAACCTTAGTCTCTGACACAGTGGCCTTCATTTTTCTCTGTCGGCCAGCAAAGTGCTATATAGTCCACGGGGTCGCAAAGAGTTGGACACAACTGAACGACTAAGCATATGCACACATGAAGTACTACAGTGTATGTTAAGTGTCATTGGGAACAAATATTTGTGGAGATAGTTTTGGTTTTGATATGTATATGTAGAAAATAGTTGATTGGTTTAGGAAAGGTGACAGAATTCTGTGTGTGAAGTTATCTGTCTGTCTTTTTAGAGCTTCTTTTATTCTCGTAAGAATTTCATGAAGCCTTCTCACCAAGGGTACCCACACCGGAATTTCCAGGAAGAAATAGAGTTCCTTAATGCAATTTTCCCAAGTAAGTTTAAGTAGAATTGAATCCTGGTTCTTAAAGTTAGATGTGTGTGTGTTGTGTGTGTATGCCTGTGTACCAAACATAGCACTTTATATAGTTAAGATAAATGTATCAATTTAGCTGATTACAAATTTGTGAGTATTGTTGTGTAACTGTTGAAATGATGGGAGAAAAAAATCAAGTAACTGATCACCTGCCAGATGGAGAACTCATCTTCTAGCCAGTTGCTGTCATTTATGTCTGTTTTAGTGGGTATGCAGGCTGTTATCCCTTCATCCAGAAACATGCCCCATGACTCCATAAATCCATGCTGAGATACTGGTCCATGTTAAGAAACTACCATGCTGAACAGGAGTTGAGCTGGCTCAAGAATGGTCAACTGAAGTGAGTTCATAGTGTCACTTCAGTTAAATTGGCGAGATTTACTTCTATCCATTTATATAAGCTTTTATTTATAGACCTTCCTTTTTGAGCTTCAAGGACAGGGGAATAAAGGTTACCTAATCTAACACCCTTATATCCTAGAAGAGGCTAAAATCCTAAGATGATTTTAGTAACTTGGCACAGAGTCATTCACAAGGATGATTTTTAAAAAGAAAATTTCAAAAGATTTCCGTCCTACCTGCTCTTATCTACTATACTAGGCTATATCAGGGTGCCACATATAATTTAGTTTAAATATCAACCAACTGGTAACTTCTATGTTGAATGAGGCCTTGAAACACCATGGGAAGGAGGACATACTACATAACTTCCATTTACTTGAGAGAGTAGATAAATAGGTGACCAAATTCCATTACCTAATGGAGTTTTAGGGGAGAGTAAACCATAGTTTTCTCAGCACCATTCAGACTGGCTTATTAGCTGAAGTGCATCTCCCAATGATAGCCAATAAAATGTTTTCTTAAAGGAGGAGGGGGATCTTGCCTACCTGCTATCAGATGGATCTGTTAAATTTATTTTATGTTCTCCTGCCTCAACAGATGGAGCAGCATATTGTATGGGACGCATGAATTCTGACTGTTGGTATGTTGGACCCAATTTGATGAAAGTTTTGTTTTATATCAGATTTCTTTTAAACTTGCAGTTGTCATTTTTAGAAACTATTTTGTACTTTTATATAGGTACTTGTATACTTTGGATTTCCCAGAGAGTAGGGTTATCAATCAGCCAGATCAAACCCTGGAAATTCTGATGAGTGAGCTTGACCCAGCAGTTATGGACCAGTTCTACATGAAAGATGGTGTTACTGCAAAGGATGTCACTCGTGTAAGCATTTTCAATAATTCTGTATCCTGCTTGGCAGCTAAATATTTTGGCTCATTCTCTTATTTCTTGTCCAGATTTGCTTTTAATTCAGTCTTTGGCTTTTTTCCCAGGAGAGTGGAATTTGTGACCTGATACCAGGTTCTGTCATTGATGCCACAATGTTCAATCCTTGTGGGTATTCAATGAATGGGATGAAATCGGATGTAAGTAAGAATATCTTGCTTAATAATTTAAACCTTTAAGTGTGCCCTTTCCATTATTAATACAAAGCTGTTTCTCTTAAGGGAACTTATTGGACTATTCACATCACTCCAGAACCAGAATTTTCTTATGTTAGCTTTGAAACAAACTTAAGTCAGACCTCCTATGATGACCTGATCAGGAAAGTTGTAGAAGTCTTCAAGCCAGGAAAATTTGTGACCACCCTGTTTGTAAATCAGGTAATACATTTTTTTCATCAACAATAAAATCTGACAGAAAATAAGGATAGTGAGGTATGTCATAAAATGTATTCTGAGATGCCATATAATCAGCCAGAGATAACCAGAGATACTACTAATTGAGGTGTTTGGTAGATGAGAAGCTTTATGCATGTCACTAGACTTCTGGGCCTTGTTTTATACCTAGCCCAGTTCGTGGGCTCCTCTTATCCTGTTTTCCCTGTTGATAGACCTTGGGATGGTGGTGGCAGAAGACATAAAGTGTCCCACTGCCTCCAGCCCCTAGGAAGTCAGCTAAAATATTTCAGTTCCATGGGGTTGGTTTTTGTTTTGTCTTGTCTTTTTAATTTTGTTTACTTGTTTTTGGTGGTGCTGGGTTTTCGTTGCTGCAGAGGCTTTTCTCTGGCTGTGGAGAGCGGGGCTGCTCTCCATCGCAGTGTGTGGGCTTCCATTAACCATGGCTTCACTTACTGTGGATCACAAGCTCTGGGGCACAAAGGCTTAGTCATTGTGGCACACGGGCTTACTGGCAGGCAGATTCTTTATCCCTCTGAGCCACCAGGGAAGCCCCCGGTGCCACAGTCTTGACTAAAACAGCAGTCTTAAATACTTACTGCATGACTGCTTTGTTTGAAAATATTACTGCAGATTGGAAACGCTAATGGTTAATGTCATTTTTTCCCCCAGAGTTCTAAATGTCGCACAGTGCTTTCCTCGCCCCAGAAGATTGAAGGTTTTAAACGTCTTGATTGCCAGAGCGCTTTGTTCAATGATTACAATTTTGTTTTTACCAGTTTTGCTAAGAAGCAGCAACAACAGCAGAGTTGATTAAGAAACATGAAGAAAAAACGCAAAAAGAGAACACACATAGAAGAAGGTGGTGGCTGCTTTTTAGATATTGATACCAAGGGCCGTGCTTTCCATAACCACCACCTTGTAGTTGCAGAAAGCCCTAGATGTAATGATAGTGTAATCATTTTGAATTGTATGCATTATTATATCAAGGAGTTAGATATCTTGCATGAATGCTCTCTTCTGTGTTTAGGTATCCTATGCCACTCTTGCTGTGAAATTGAAGTGCATGTAGAAAAAACCTTTTACTATATGAAACTTTACAACACTTGTGAAAACAATTCAATTTGGTTTACACACAGTGTAATATTTCTCCAGGTGTCATCCAAAATTCCCCACAGACAAGGCTTTCGTCCTCATTAGGTGTTGGCCTCAGCCTAGCCATCTGGGACTGTTCTATTAATTGCTGCCAGGATTTTACATCCAGTTACCTCCACTTTCTAGAACCTATTCTCTACTAATGTTATTGAAACCAATTTCTACTTCATACAGATGTTTTTGCAACAGCAATTAAAGTTTTTCTTCCACGAGTCGAGTCCTCTAAGAAAACAATTGGAACTATCCATTCTGTGTATTTATATTTTAACACTGCTTCCTGTACTTGTATTCCTTTGATTCCTTCCATTACCATGGTGTCTCCCCTCCCAACCATACCCCCTCAATAAAGCAATACACTGTTACACTGTGGGTTTTATACTAATCTATACCCCAGAGGGGGAAGACGGGGGTAGACCCTGGGCTTAATTTTCTTTTAAGGTCAAGGGAGTTTGACATTTTTCATTACCATGAGCTCTTTTGGAATAAACTATTGTTGATTAGCAAAGGTGTATATTGGTACAAGGGTATATTGGCAGAACTGTATGGAAACTGTGCCATTTGGTGTCCCCCATTAAATGAGATGAGCTTCTCGTAAGTATCATGTCTTTATTAACTTGCTAAGTAAGTAGTACAAAAGAATTTTTATCACAATTTATTAGTGAAGAGATTTCAGAAAAGGATATTGGTTTCAACAAATCAAGTCAGCTCAGATGATTCACGTTAACTTTTACTTTTGTAGCCATTTCCACTAATTTCTGTTAATGATATGCCATGAATTTTGGTTCAAAGCAGATTCAGTGACTTTGCCATCTTGTGACTTAAAAGTTCCGTGACTTTATGTTACATGTAATAGTGTTCTGATTTGGTTCCTCTTGTTTGTGTTCCTTTCACCATGGAATAGCATCAGGTGATGAATGAGAACTGTTAAGGTTATTCAGACATACTCAGTGCAGCAGAATGCTATCCACAAAACATTACACACAAAATTTCAAAGTGGTTGATGGGAAAAGACTAAAAATACAGGCATAAAAGAGTTGGCATCTTTTAGCTGTATTTACTAACACTCACACTTAAGCAGTTGATAAAAGAGCAAAGTTGACTCAAATTTTCTATTCTTGTCCTCAAACAATTTTTGATTCTTTCTGGATTGATGCAGTGATGCTTTTGTTCCTTCCGTATTTATAAAGGAAACACTTTTTTTTAAAGTGTTTCTGAACATAAAATCTGCTTGGTTTGAAATCAGGTGGTTGGAACACTTGACTTTTATTTTAAGCACATTGTTGATTCAAAGCTTCATTGAAGAAGCTTTCAATCAATGGATCATTCTGATTTTCTGTAATTACGCACAGTACCTAATGTTTTGGTGCTATTATGAGGACCAATGCTCAAAGTGGATTTTGTTCTTGAACAGTGTCCCAGTAGATTTTGATGACATTTATTGGCTTGAGGTCTGATTTTCCTCCCCCTAATAGATTTAAAAGATTTCTATTTCATGTTGAAGACCTGCACAAATTTTGTATGGAACAAAGCCTAGAAAAAAAAAGAAAAATAGATTGAATAGTAATCTAAATTAATCTTAGTATGTATGATAGAGGAGGGAAAACTTTGGTGCCATAATTTCTCTCTTCATGGTGTTGGACTTGAAATGTATTTCTGTACCCACAATTTAAGCTTCAATAAAGGTTTGCTTAATTGATTGTCTAGTGACATTCAGAAAGTTTTCTGTCAATGTATTTTTTTAAATAGTATACATGACCAAATACTAGACTCTATATATAAAGTTTTTATAATTAATTGAAGGAATTAATATTTAATGATTTTTTTTAAGGTTATGGGAGATGTTATAAAGTTAAGATCTTTAAGTTCTGGGAGAACAGTTTTAAACATTTTGTTGATAGTAGCTTCATAACTGAAGCTGAAAGGAAATCATCTGGGCTGTATCCCAGGTTATCAGAGTAGGAAGAGTGTAAGTAGAATAAGAATGCTAGAGTTTGGAACTAGAAAAGTTTGAAGATGGAATATTCCAGCATTTATTATGGAATAGGTACTTCCTGGTGGGGTGGGGAACACAGTTTAATTCACAGTTCTTGCAGCCAGAACATAGTTAAAAGCTTTTGATCGTTGTGCCATGCAGGTACATTATCTCATCATTTGGCAAACTTTCAGTTCTTCAGTCTCATATACAATAAGCTAAAAACTGGAATCTTTATTATATTCAGATCTTTCTTAAGCTTATCAGAATATTGTCCAAAATTTGAGTTAAAAAGGGTTGATCTTAGGGACCTCCCTGGCGGTCCGTTAAGACTCTGCACTCCCAGTGCAGGGGGCACAGTTTAGCTCTCCAGTCGGTGAACCAAGATTCCTGAGTGCCACAGAGCACAGCTCTAAAAAGAAAAGGTTGATCTTAGAAAAGCAAGATGTTAAAGGTGTGTGCAGTCCTACAGTGCCAGATTGTTTTGTAGGAACAGGTAACTTGAGTTTGGCAAACACCTGGTGTTAACTGATGAGATTCAGGAGAAAAGACTTTCATTGTCTTAGCCAGATAACGCCACTTCCCAGCTACCCACCTTCAAACTTTACATTTTCATCTGCCTTCTCTTTCTGTTATAATGGAAGAAGTGTTAGTCCTTTGAATGAATGAATGAAGCCACCCATTTCTGCCTTTAGAGACTAAAGGAGTTCCCTGCAGGCATGTCCACCGTTGCTTCCTATCAGTTTATTTTACTTCCCACTTCCCTTTGCTCCTTAGGATTCACTTTGTTAGTCCTTTACAACATGAGAAGTGTCAATTCTTATCCCCAAACTGAACCATCTTCAAATTACTTGTAATCCAGTATTTTCCTGAGTGCTCAAACCAGAAACAGGATGAAACTGAGGCAGAGTCATAGAGGTTTGTGATGTAACTCAGATTGGAAGAAAACTACTGGCAGTGTGAAGAGATGTCCAATATGCTGTTGGAGTAGGACATAGCAGCCTGCTCCAGTATTTGTTGCCTGGAGAGTCCCATGGACAGAGGAGCCGGGTGGGCTACAGTCCACAGGGTCACAAAGAGTCAGACACAACTGAGCAACTGGCACACATGTGAGCTAGAAGCCCCCCAAATTGGTTATTTATAATTAAACATCTAAACTGGATGTATACTCAAATTTCTCCTTGAACCATCACACCCTAGCTTCAGAGTCCTCAATTCTGCTCTGGTACACTGAACTACCTGCTACACACACCTCATTAGGTAAGATTTACAAAAAGTTGATGTATACAAATCTTTACAATTTTTAAGAATGTATACGCTTGGCCCACAGCCACATCAGGACCAAAGAAAATTCCCTTATACCACTGCCTAAGCAATGAAGCATTACTCTAGGTAGTTTAACTACTATCCAAATTTTTTCACTAAAGAGTAGGGTTCCCTTCCCCCCTCCATCCCAGCTCTGAAACTAAATTGAATCACTTAATGCTTTCATAAATACAAAGTTTTGAGAGGTTGAACCATGTGTTTCCTATTGCCGAGTAGTATTCCACTGTATGAATGTACCACAATTTGTTTAGCTGTTGTGTTAAATTAACATTTTGTTGGTTCTCAGTTGTGAGAAAATATTAATAAAGCTGCTATGAACATTTCCTCATACAAGCATTGTGGCTTCTGAGTGTGTAGTAGTATCTTGTGTTACTCTACATTTCTCTAATGAGTGTGCTCTCTCATGTGTCAGCCATTACTGTATTCTGAGAATGAAAATAAGTTCTGTACATTTAAAAATTGGCTCTTTTCATTAATGAGGTATGGAATTATATATTTTGGATACAGTTTTTTTCTGTGGTATTTTGTAAGTATTTTCTCCTAGTCTGTCTTCATTTTTCTAATAGTGTCTGGAGTAGTTCTTAAATTTCAGCAGTCATAATTTGTCCCCTTGTTGAGTGGATCTTTTCTAATAAATTTGCCTTCCTCCATATTGTGATGGTGACATTGTTTTCTTGTAAAAGCTTTATAATTTTTGGCTTTTACATCTTATGATCCACCTCATTTTTTTCTGTGATACAAGGTAGGGGTTGAGGTTTGTTTTTATCCATATGGTAAGTTAATCCAGCACCATTTGTGCTTTTTCCATTGAATTACTTTGGTGCCTTTTATGAATTCTGTATTTCTGTGCAAATATTAAAGTAAGTCTGTTGATTTCTATCTTATAAAGTCCTGATGGGCACTATGATGGATTAGGATTGGGTTGAATCCATCTGTCATCTTTTTCTCAGAAATGTTTGGTGTAATATTTTGTGTGATTTTGATTAAGTCATAACTTAATTTTTTGATGATAAAAATCTATCAATGGAATTGTTTTTTCTCCCCAACGGATAACTTACAGATAACAATTAGATTTTTTGCTTTTGTATCATGAAACCTTGCTAATAAATAAGCTCACTTTTTAAAAATTTATTTTTCATTGAAGGATAATTGCTTTACAGACTTTTGCTGTTTTCTGTCAAACCTCAACATGAATCAGCCATAAGTATACATGTATCCCCCCTCCCTTTTGAAGCTTCCTCCCGTCTCCCTCCCCATCCCACCCCTCTAGGTTGATACAGAGCCCATTTGAGTTTCCTGAGCCACACAGCAAATTCCCGTTGGCTATCTATTTTACACATGGTGATGTAAGTGTCCATGTTACTCTCAACATAACATCTCCCCCTCTCCTCCCCTCTCCCCATGTCCGTAAGTCTATTCTCTACGTTGCTCACTGGTTTTGAAAGATTTTTATTTTCTTACCTGTTTACCTGTTAGGACCTCTAATAACATGTTAAGTATAAATGGTAAGAGCAGCTTGTGACTATTGTTGGGAAGACACTTAGGGAGTGAAATTCAAGGAGTACTGTCAGATCAGGGTGGTGTAAGTGGGCATCTGGGAGTAAGTGCATCCTTGCATTTTGCTCCCTAGGGGTTTTCCTCGCCTCAGCCTTTGCATGTGCATGCTAAGTTGCTCAGTTGTGTCCAACTCTGTGACCCCGTGGACTAGCCCACCAGCCTCCTCTGCCATGGGATTCTCCAGGCAAGAATACTGGAGTGAGTTGCCAAGCCCTTTTCCGGGGGTCTGCCCAACCCAGGAATCTCACCCACATCTCACATCTCCTGCTTTGGTAGGTGGGTTTTGTACCATTAAGGCTTGTGCATCCCAATTTTAAGAAGAAAAGAGTAGTCCACCAAGAATGCTGTTGGTTTTATGTAGGTCCCTAGATGGATACCTTTTGAATACCTACTCAAAACTTGGGAATTCAGTCATTTCACCTCCTTTATTTACAAAAACAAGAAGAGACCCAGAGGGATGGGGTGGGGAGGGAGGCAGGAAGGGGGATCAGAATGGGGAACACGTGTAGATCATGGCTGATTTATGTCAATGTATGACAAAAACCACTACAATATTGTAAAGCAATTAGCCTCCAACTAATAAAAATAAATGAAGAAAAAAAAATTAGTTTCATCAGCGTAGGGAATTAATAGATACAAACTATTAGGTGTAAAATAAGCTATAAAGATATATTGTACAAAGAATATAGCCAGTATTTTATAACTATAAAGGATTATAACCTTTAAAAATTGTGAATCACTCTACATTGTACACCTACAATTACATAATATTGGTACATCAACTGTACTAATGAAGATTTTATTCCAGAAAAAAAGTAGTAAGGGAGGTTGAACTGAACTCTGGAAGTTAGCTGCCTTCATTAACCCTGTGATGTCCTTCACCCTGGTCCTCCACACATGCTCATGGGATCTACTGATTTCCCCCAACTTAGCCCTCATTATTTTGCAGGGATTAAAAGCCTGGAAAATAGGAGAAATAAGGAAACCTAATGCAGCCATGAAATTAAAAGATGCTTGGTGCCTGGAAGGAAAGTTATGACCAACCTAGACAGCATGTTAAAGAGCAGACATTACTTTGCCAACAAAGGTCCGTCTAGTCAAAGCTATGGTTTTTCCAGCAGTCATCTATGGATGTGAGAGTTGGGCTATAAAGAACACTGAGCGCCGAAGAATTGATGTTTTTGAACTGTGGTGTTGGAGAAGACTTGACAGTCCCTTGGGCTGCAAGGAGGTCCAACCAGTCCATCCTAAAGGAAACCAGTCCTGAATATTCATTGGAAGGACTGATGCTGAAGCTGAAACTCCAATACTTTGGCCACCTGATGGGAAGANTGGAAGGACTGATGCTGAAGCTGAAACTCCAATACTTTGGCCACCTGATGGGAAGAACTGACTCATTTGAAAAGACCCTGATGCTGGGAAAGATTGAAGGCAGGTGTAAAGAGAAAATATGTACATAGATAGCCATATACAAAATCGTTTGTAGGAACAACCTAGATGTCAAAAATTAGGGTCCTGGTTAATCTGCTCATACTGTCAATACAATTACATTAAAATTCTAAAGGAAATGTGTTCATGATACTAACTAGGTAAAACTGCATGAGTGTGTAGTCAGCTACAAATCCTGGCTATGAATTAAAATTCAGTACACAGTGCTAGATGCTGAGTATATAAAAATAAGACATAATCGGGCTTCCCAGGTGGCACTAGTGGTAAAGAACCCATCTGCCAATGCAGGTAGATTTTAGAAATGAGGATTTGATCCCTGGGTGGGGAATATCCCCTGGAGGAGGGAATGGCAACCCACTCCAGTATTCTTGCCTGGAGAATGCCATGGACAAAGGAGCCTGGCAGACTTCAGTCTATAGGGTCACACGGAGTCAGACACGACTGAAGCAACTTAGCAGACACACACGCAAGACATAATCACTCGCCCTCCTGGGATCTCATTCTCGTAGAGGAAGTAGACATATAAACAGTAATCTGAGAGCGACATGTGCTGCAAAAGCCTCTTACCTGGGGGTGGGGGACAGGTAGGAGATTCAATGAAAGGTCATCTTTGAGCTAATAGCTGTAGAGATATACTAAATAATAAAAGAATGTAGTATTATAAGCAGATCTTTTTTCAAACAGATCAAGGTGAATTGCTTGCTCCTAGTAAGAATCTCCATTTAGGTGAAGGACTGCATAGGGAAAGAAGTGGGGAAAGTGATTAAGATGCTGGAAAGGTTGCCAGTGGATTCTTTGGTGCTAAATTTAGATTTCATTTCCCTCTTAGCTTCCCCCTCCACCCAGTGCTAGCTACTGGCAGATCACAGCTGACTCTCCAGAAATTGTTCTCAGATAAGATTTCTGTGTAATGAGGAAAATTCCTGTATAATGAGGAAATTCCTGTATAATTTCCTGAAGAAACTTGACTAGGGAGCAAAAAAGAATCCTGGAGGGAGCTTCAAAATGGACTGCAGAAATACATTTTGGCTGGGGGGTAAAGACTGGATGTCAAGAGATGGGTTAGACTCCTGTAAGAAGAAAGGTAAGAAATGTTACAACTAATGCAATAAAATTACTAAAACAAAATATATAAACATGAGACTAAAGAGGTAAAAAGAAGGCAATCTAGTCTTCTGGCTTGCTTTTGCTGACAACTCAGGAGTCGGAGGAGGACTGGGGTAGGAGATAACAGGGTTGCTTTTCAATACGTTGAATTTAGTTGAGCCAAAAGGTAGATAAAAGAACCTAAATTTGCTATGCTGGGACTGTGAGATTACGGGCACTTTCATAAAGAATAAACTTTTATGCAACTTCTTCAATTTATTTACTAATAATTTGAAAGAATTGCTTAACACAGGTAGAACAAACCTGTGAGCTTGTAGGAGACTGGTTAAATGATCATTCATTGAGAGACTTCCCTAGTGGTCCAGTGGTTAAGAATCCGCCTGTCAATGCAGGGAATTGAGCCAATTTGGGTCTGAGCCTTGGTTTGGCAAGATCCCACGTGTCACAGGGCAGGTAAGCCAGTGTGACACAACTACTGAAGCCTGTCACCTACAACTAGGGAGTAGCCCCCACCTGCTGCAGCTGGAGAAAGCCTGCACACGGCAATAAAGACCCAGCACAACACAATAATAATAAAGAAAAAATTTAAAAATAATTATACATTGAAATATGTTGATGCTGTCAAAACCCATAGGTCTCTATTGGCATGATAACACTTGTAACATGTTAAGCTAGTAAGTAAAGTGATGCTTAAAATTTTCCAAGCCAGGCTTCAGCAATACATGAATTGTGAACTTCCAGATGTTCAAGCTGGTTTTAGAAAAGGCAGAGGAACCAGAGATCAAAATGCCAACATCCGCTGGATCATCGAAAAAGCAAGAGAGCTCCAAAAAACAACCACATCTATTTCTGCTTTATTGACTATGCCAAAGCCTTTGACTGTGTGGATCACAACAAACTGTGGAAAATTCTGAAAGAGAATACCAGACCACCTGACCTGCCTCTTGAGAAATCTCTATGCATGTCAGGAAGCAACAGTTAGAACTGGACATGGAACAACAGACTGGTTCCAAATAGGAAAAGAAGTACGTCAAGGCTGTATATTGTCACCCTGCTTATTTAACTTATATGCAGAGTACATCATGAGAAACGCTGGGCTGGAGGAAGCACAAGCTGGAATCAAGATTGCCAGGAGAAATATCAATAACCTCAGATATGCAGATGACACCACCCTTATGGCAGAAAGTGAAGAACTAAAGAGCCTCTTGATGAAAGTG